GTAACGTATCAATACACGCGACACATTTTCGGAGCTCGTGAATTGCCCACATGTGCTAATTTTGCTCTTCAAAAGACAGCTCGCGAGAATCAAGTCTTGTTCCCCGACGCAGCGTCAGCCGTGATGCAAAAATTCTATATGGACGATTATCTTGACTCGTTTCCCGAACCTGAACAGGCATTAAAATTAAGTAAGGACCTTGTAGAACTACTTAAGTTAGGAGGATTTAAGTTGACAAAATTCGTGAGCAATGTCAAAGAGATTCGGAAAGAGTTATGTACGTCAAGCGACAATTTAAGTCAAGTTAAGGAGATTCTAAATAGTGAAGGTCAAGAATCGCATGTTCTAGGTTTGAAATGGGATCACGTTCTCGATACATTGGTAGTTAGTCGAGGTGTAAACAGAGAACTGAAGGATACTGTTACCCAACGTACAATTCTAAGTTTTGTCTCTTCAGTTTTCGACCCTATTGGGTTAGTCGCTCCGTACACTGTCAGAGCCCGACTACTTCTTAAAGAGATTTGGAGAATCAGTGGTCAACAATGGGATAACCCACTTCCTTTGGAATTGAATGCCAAATTCCTCGACTGGCGGTCTGGTCTACCCATCCTGGGTCAACTGATCATACCGAGATGCTACTTTCCATCCGCATTTGACAAAATTGAACTCCATATGTTTGGTGACAGTTCACAGGAAGTCTTCTGTGCAGTTGGATTTCTCCGTGCGCGCATTATTGATACACATGAGACAAAACTTGCCTTTCTTTTGTGTAAAGCCCGCGTAGCACCAATGAAGGATATTTCCATCCCAAAATTAGAGCTGCAAGCTTCTTTGCTTGCTACACGCCTCAAAATAGATATCATGAAAGCACTTTCGATCCCTATAAATGATGTCTTCATGTGGACTGACAGCACCACTGTGCTACAATGGCTCCATTCGACTGCAAAGCAGCCAGTATTTGTCGCTAATCGAGTAGGCGAAATACTGGAAGTTACCACTGTCGACGAATGGTGTCACGTAGATACTGAAAACAACCCAGCTAATACTGGTACTCGAGGTATTGCCGCTGAAGCCTTGAAGGACAGCAGCTGGACTCAAGGTCCCAGCTTCCTCAGAACCAGTGATTGGCCCTTTCGATCAAATGTCGATGTAATTACAAAAATAAAATTAAAAGGTCCTATCGATGATATCATCGATACTGCCACTAATTTTGTAAACAATCCGTCAGTCCCTGAACCCGTCATTAAGTGGAAACGTTACAGCTTGTTTCTGAAATTATTGCGCGTAGTAGCATTCATCCTCCGATTAAATCCTAAATTTAATCGTTTCCGTGGAACAATCGCTAATATCGTTGAACCGTCTGAGATAGATAATTCTCAACGAATGTTGTTTCTTCTTTCTCAAAAAGAAGCGTTCCCCTCAGAGTACAAATTATTGAGTTCTGAGAAATATGTTAAGAATGTAAGCCCCATTGCAACTCTCTACCCATTCATTGACACCGATGGACTTCTGAGATCCATAGGACGCATTAGTCGTCTCTCTGCACTCGATTTTAAAAATAAATATCCCATCATACTTGATGGCCGTCATCCATTCGTCAAATTGTTTGTGGCTCATCAACATAACAAACATGAGCATCAGTCAATTGACTACCTAGGATCTGTCATCCAGATAGAATATGCAATCTTAAAATTAAGATCATTGCTTCGTAACATCGAACTTAATTGTAAAAACTGCCGAAAGCGAAAGTTGAAAGTCATCACCCCTTTCATGTCTGATCTGCCAATTGAGCGTCTTGGATACCGCCAAGCGCCCTTCAACAATTGCGGAGTCGATTACTTCGGACCCTTTCACGTAACAATCCGTAGGAGTTCGGAGAAACGTTGGGCATTTTTGTTCACTTGTTTGACCACTAGTCTACCCTCTCGCTCGCGTGGTTACTACCCTCTCGCTCGCGTCAAAACGCTTAACTATGGCAAAGACAATACCGCCCGTTCCGCACGCCTTAAAACCGCAACAGGATATTTAACCCGACCTCTTGTTAAACTCGCCCCAGTTCTCGCTCCGTTGGGGCCCGAGGATGTTCAAGATTGAAACTAAAATGAAAGCATATCAAGACCAGCTAGTCTAGTGGTAACGTACTTGACCTGAAACCGAAAGGTCGCCGGTTCGAATCCCGGTCGTTCCAAGTACTTTACTACTAAAAATCTTGGAATACACTTGATTTGAACCGGATAAAAATTGTTCCTAAGTCAAACTTGTTTTTAAATGATGTTCTGGACATGAACTTAATTAGACTTTGGCCAGAATTGACTTCTAACTTCTGGCAAGCGTGAAAATCCCCACTGATTGGCGAAAGTAGTGACAATAAAGTCGCTTTCGATTTCGATTTCGATTTCGTTTAAAACTTGTTAAGTTTGTTCCGAAACAGATATTATTCCGTTGTTTCCTCTTAATGATTTTCGATAATTATTGAAGGAAAAAATATATATATCACGCTTGCCAGAAGTTAGAAGTCAATTCTGGCCAAAGTCTAATTAAGTTCATGTCCAGAACATCATTTAAAAACAAGTTTGACTTAGGAACAATCGTGTTCTCAACCGAGATACATACAGCCAATCTAAAGACCGACGATATACTCGACCGACCCACCACAGACCGAACACAGGTGGAAACACCGGGGTATCAGAGTGTTAAAGTTGCTGAGAAATCAAGAAATCTTTATTCAATTTTTAATTATAATTCTTCCTAAAGCGTTTTTCTCATCCTAACTATTGTGAACTATTTTGTTCTTCATAACTTACCTCTAAACATTACGCATTCGGCCATAGTAACACGCAAGACAATTGATAAGATGGAAAATTTAGAATTTTGGGCGTTGGGGAGTGAAAAAAGTCAAAAAAAAGTACCGTTGAAAAATTTTGGCCATTATTTAAATGTTTGGTACTTTCACTATATAATTTGCTTAAGACAGAACTGAGACTAGTCATACAGTTGTTAGTCAACTGTTTCCACGTTTAGAAATGCTAGTCATAAAGTTGAAAATGCTAGTCATACAGTTTCCACATTTGAAAAATCACTAATCATAGACCTTTCATGCAATTTTCTGTACTTTTGGAGTTGCATGAAAAGAGTAGAACTAGCATTTTTCCATATATGAAAACTGTATGACTAGCGTTTTTGGTCAAGCCGGGGTATCAGATGGTTAAAGTTGCTGAGAAATCAAGAAATCTATGTTCAATTTTTAAATATAATTCTTTCTAAGCGTTTTTCTCATCCTAGTTACTGTGAACAATTCTGTTCTTCATAACTTACTTCTTAACATTACGCATTCTGCCATAGTAACACGCAAGACAATTGTAAAGATAGAAAATTTAGAACTTTGGGCGTTGGGGGGTGAAAAAATCAAAAAAAATACCGTTGAAAAATTTTGGCCGTTATTTAAAGGTTTGATACTTTCAGTATATCATTTGCTTAAGACAGAACTGAGACTAGTCATACAGTTGTTAGTCAACTGTTTCCACGTTTAGAAATGCTAGTCATAAAGTTGAAAATGCTAGTCATACAGTTTCTACATTTGAAAAATCACTGATCATAGACCTTTCATGCAATTTTCTGTACTTTTGGAGTTGCATGAAAAAAGTATGACTAGCATTTTTCCAGATATGAAAACTGTATGACTAGCATTTTTGCTCAAGCCAGGGTATCAGATGGTTAAAGTTGCTGAGAAATCAAGCAATCTATGTTCAATTTTAAAAAATAATTCTTCCTAAAGCGTGTTTCTCATCCGGACTAAGAACAAATTACAAGGTTTGACAATTGCTTAGTAGATTCTACTGGCCTTACTTATAACGCCACGTTTCGACCAATTCGTTACAAAACGAATGGCTATATTTGACCAAAGCAAAAGGATGTCGGATGAAGTTTGACCGAGCATGATTGGTTTTGACCAACCCAGTCCAAAACGGCTAAGTAAACACTTAAGAGTTATCAGAGTCCGTATAATTTAGACGTTTTCGACAAACTAGCAGCCGTGATGTTGTTGATTAGAAAATATAAGATTAAAATTATTGAACTGATAAAAAATTTTTGAGAAATTTGAAAAAATAGGTCATTGAAGATAAGATTGAGAAAAGATTGCATCTCGAAACTTTGTCTAGATAATTTTTTAGACTTTTCCCCAAATTTGAATAGTTGGTTTTTTGCTATTTTTCAACTTTTTGATCAACTGAAATGTTTTTTTTTTCTACTGCGCATTTGGGTTGACGGTTCTTTGCACCAGCGGACTTAGGGGGGGGAGAAGGCGGGGGCGTACGCCTTTTTCTTAGGGATTCGTCTCCCTACCGTCCCAAAAATTCTCCCTTTGTACTATTTTGAGACATCCATTTTTGGCTGGCTGACTCTAAATGTTTTTTTTTCTAATTGCGCCTTCTGCGCCATAATTTTCTAATTTTGAGGGAGAAGCGCGCGCCGAAAAAACGCAATTTTTTGGTCAAAGTTTTCCAAAAAAATGCCTAAAAACGCCTTTTTTGGCCTGTTTTTCAAAAATTTGCCTGCGGCGCATAACATTTGGCCAAAGCACGGTCTTTGTAGAGCTTTAAGAGAGCTCAGAAAACCAATTTGGTCCAAGTAAAAAAAAGGTCGATTTTTTTGTTTTCAATTTGAGAAAATATTTGTTTTCAATTTGAGGTTTTTATTTGTTTTTAATCTCGCTATTCATCTTCTGATGCAATAAAGATGACGCAATAAGAAAAACTTTCTAGAAGCAAGACTACTATTAGGAAATCATTTTCTAAGCCAGCTTTTAAGCGTGACTAATTAGAAAAAACTGAAAAAATTTGAAGGAACAAACTGGAAAAAACTGGAAAAAATTCCATGATAGTCTACCTTATTCCAATCTACCCTTTGTCATTCTACCCTTTTCTACTTTAACCTCTGGTGGTCCGACGGTTTGCTCGAAAGATAAGTTAAACACCTTGCTCGTGGAACTCACAACTAACCCTGATTCCCTCCGGCCCACATTCCAGACAGCAGCAGACACAGTCCACGGCCAAAGCTGCTCCAGTGGCAATAGTAGGAAGCCACACAGCCCCTGCCAAATATGGATGGCAACAGATGAACCTCTTAGCGTCACCACCGGGCACACACTGACCGTCTTTTCCCATTTTGATTGATGATTTTCTCCAAAAAAATTAACTATTTAACTGAAAAATGATTGACAATGAATTGATTTGTTCACGCGTAAGCAATGACTTCAAAATATGACTTTCAATTCTGGAAGATAAAAAGAAAATTTGCCGCCAAAAGTGAAAGGTGATGAATATTTATGCTAAATTTAGACAGCTGGAAAAAAAATTTGCTTGACAGTCATAAAAATTACATTAAAAAAGCGCACTTTTTTTGTTCTATTAGACGACAAACTAATTCAACTCAGAATTGATACATGTGGGATGAATTAAAATATTTTTTCTCCAATCGTATTTCTTACACTTCGTATTTTACATAAATTCAGAAGGATCATTTTCAAATTATTAAGTTTTATCCAGTAGTAGTATCAAAAATTTTGAAGGAAAGTTCAAACTGTCAAGGTTTCGCTAAAACAATCTGCTTAATCCATGTTTTCAAGAACGTGAGTTTTTTGTGTCATCATCAATCTTTTTGGTTCAACTTCTCGAGTAAATTGATACTTTTTGTAGCTTTGTTGGCCGTAGTTGGTCAGATCGGCTTAAAGCTTTTTTACATTAGCACCATTTTTTTAATAAAACCAGTTCAAATTTTTAATGCAGTTTGGACAATCTTTTGTACAAGTTTGCAAAAAAAAATCGGCTCTTTTCCAGTTCCCCCCTTTGATATTTTCTGAAATTCAATATATGAAAGTCTACTTAAAATGACTTTTTATGTTATAAACTGCGTTAAAACGTGTGAGCTTGAACAGGTGAACAAATGTTTACGGCATTTTTAACATGCAAAATGCCGTGTGAACAGTTTTTGAGAAGTTTTGTTTTGTAATTTTTCGAGGAGGATGGAAAACTGGAAAAGAGCCAAAAAGTCTTTTTGAAGATAATTAAGCAACATTCAAGGCAGGAAGAAGCTGAAACTATTTTACTGCTTTTTTAGAGATTCGTAATTAGATTTCGTGACGCAATTTTTATCAGCTCGACTTCAATATAGATTAGGAGCCACAGACCAAAGATTCACCGCGGTATACCACGACACTGATAAATTATGGAGCTAGTAGCCAAACAGATCAAGTTTAATAAACATAGCTACTGCTTTTTCAAAATTTTTTCTACATAGCTACTGTTGTGAAATTGATTTCAAAAGTTTTTTCAATTTCTCAAAGATAACTTTGAAAAATTGTAACGTAGTTTTTGATCAAAAAACTTACTTTGAACAACTCAAAGGTTGACAGGACTTTTGGGCGATATACTGATAAGAGCACCCACACTCAGTAAAAAAAAATAATCGATTACATTACCATTATAATTGTACTTTTAAAAAGATTATACTTAATTATAAGCGCCAAATTTAGGTGTTCTAACGATTTATAATCCATTATAATGATAAAATTTTTCGTGAGATTATAATAAATTATAATCAATTATAATTGATTATAATTTTTCCGAAAATCTCTTATAATCTCTTACAATCTCTTATAATCTCTTATAATCTTTTATAATAAATTATAATACCTTCGTCTATCAAATTATTACCTCGTAAAAAAATCAAATATAATGGGTTATAAGTTAGCTAATCTGCATGAAAACACAGTAAATACCTAATTTAAATTAAGTTTAAGCTATAAGTACAAAATTACAGTTTTTTCTAGTTCATCAGTTCCCCTTACTCATGCACCTTCAGCGAGTCGGCCGACTTCAAACGATTACTGTTCGTGTCAGCCAGTGCCAGGTAGTTCTGACGGCCTCTGAGGCGTAGCCCCCATTCGTATTTCCACCGAAGGAACTCAGAGAAACTTTGTTCTTCTTTGTAGGTCTAAAATATTCGAAAAGATATTTATGCATACGATCGGGAAAAAAGGAAACAATTTGCCCGAAGATTTCAAATGGACTCTCAAACGTGAATTCCTAGTAGATCAACATAGGAAAAAAGATACATATTGAATAAATAAAAAACGCCACTTTTAGAGTAAAGCTTAAAACAGAACCCCAAACCACACTCACCCTCCGACACTTATAGGGGCACATATAGGGACGCATACTCAGACACTCATAGAGGCACACATAGGAAAGCATACTCAGACACTCATAGGGGCACTCATCGAGTTTTGTTTTTGAATCTGCTTCAGTTTTGGCTAACAATTTCTGACCCACTCTTGTTGCAACCTTTGTCGCATCTCTTCTTCACAGTACTGACTCCACATCTCGTCACAGCATAGCTTGACTTCTCTCACAACATTGTCTGACATTGTCCTACACAAATCCTTGCAATTTTAATGTTATGAGTTAATTTTTTGTTCTTCTTATCATTTGTATTTTCGATAAGCTTTTTGTTTTTGCAAGTTTTGGCACGTTTTGCAGCTGATTTAAATCAACAAACTTTCTTAACACTTATTTGTAAAGATTTCAGTTTTCTTTCTAGGACACTTACACTAAAAACGAACCTTCATGAAAAAAATGGTCTCATTAGCAAGAAAACCACTACATACAATTGCTGATTTCGGTTTTTTGGAACCACTACATACAATTGGAATTGGAGTGTTGAATCAACATGGAGTGCTTAAAGCGCTTTTTGTTCCGACTTTCGAAGAAAACGGTATATTTATGCTTGGTATGTTTTTTTATTCAGTCAAGCTTTGGCGATCAAAATAATAGATTTTAACAAAAAAAAATTGATTATCCATTGAAGATATCGAATTTGAAAAGATGCTTTTCCTCCGATCATTTTTTGCAAAGTTATGAGAGTTTGAAAATTGCCAATTTGGGCATGCTATGGACTAATTTATATACGCTTTTAGGATTTTATACATAATGCTATTAGGGTATCCCGAATTATTTACGCTTGGCAAATTATCCCACACAAAAAAAAACGTTGAAAATTGAATGGAGGCAAGATAATTGGTCCTGTTAATTTCGTACGAGCCAAATTTTCACATTTGATCTTTGATTTTGTCCAAAAACTTTAGTTTTTCAAAACTTTTCTCCCAAAAACTGTTCGATATGGATTATGCAATTGTCGGAACTTTCAAGACTTTGCCCTGTATACGAGTAGCCTTGTTGTTTCTTTTTGTTCTACAGTGGTGACATAAATTAACCGGGCAAAACTAACAATATTAGAAATTTCAAACGGGTTATTCTCAAATTGGGTTAGAATAAGACAAAAAGTGAAGACAATAAAAACTTCTTCCGTGTTCACCAAAATTAGCAGGGCGCTATTTATTTTGCTGATTCGATGTTAAAAATGTACCTTAAAAGCGGGTTATTTTGGTTTTTTAGTTTATTAAGAATTGAGCTTAAGCTCCCGAGTTAATTACAAAGTTTTTCCGAAAAATTGTCTTACAGAGCTCAATAAAATTCTAGAACAGTAACATCTTCAAAAATCCGTATAAAAATATAATTCTGCAAGACAGTCAAAAAGGTCAATTTTATTTAACAAAACTCAAAAGATTTGTTTAAAAACAAATTTTACACGTTTTGCTCATATTTTTGATGATTTTATTTTTCTATAACTTTGTTGGGATGTGTAAGAGGCGTTTTTTGATAAAAATTTGTCATCAATTATTTAAGAAGCTCAAGTGTTCCTAATTTAACGAATTTTGGTTCCTAATTTAACGAAACGAATTGCAAAATGATAGTTCTGGTAAAAACTAACGCTGTTTTTGTTCTCTTCTTTTTTTGTCTAATCTTAACCCAATTTGAGAAAAACGCGTTTGAAGTTCCCAATGGTCAATTGTTTTTGTTTAATTTAAATCAGCACTGCATTAAACAGCAAAATGATTCGGCTCAACATTTACTAAATTTACTAATAACGTAGTGTCAAGTAGGTACACCTTGAAGTTTCTATAGTTTAAGGAACAAATTTTCAGAAAAAAGTTCAAGCTTCTATTTAAAAATGGCATCAGCTCTTAAATGGTAGTCATTACGACGCCACACTAAGTGTTTTGCGAATTGTAAACGGATTCCGCAGCAAGGACGTTCCCTTTGTTTTCTTTTGTTATTTCAATCTCTTTGATCGTTTCAACAAAGTTTTGACATGTTCAAAGTCTTGTCTCTGGAATCCAGGAAAATACAGACCCAAACTTGTGTGTGTCTATCCAAGGCACAGTTTGGCCTCAAAATGGTTCAAACTTTAAACATTTCACAATGGCCAAAATAGGCTGAGCTTTAAATTTAACTTTCTTATTTCTCTCGATGGACACGCACTGGGTTGCATTTGTTTTTAACACTACGTTTTTAGCATTACATTGGCTGCAATTGCTCAGCATTGCGAGGCCAAAAAGTGTATTTTGTGAATTGAGAGCTTCTGTTCTTCTTTTTGTTTCTTCTATTTTCTTTGATAGTTTCGCCATAGTTTTAATCTGTTTAAAAATCTGTCTCTGGAATTCAGGAAAATATAGACCCAAACTTGTGTGTGTCTATCCAGTGCACAGTTTGGCCTCATAATGGTTCAAACTCTAAACATTTCACAATGGCCAAAATAGGCTGAGCTTTAAATTTAACTTTCTTATTTCTCTCGATGGACTCGCACTGGATTGCATTTGTTTTTAACACTACGTTTTTAGCATTACATTGGCTGCAATTGCTCAGCATTACGAGGCCAAATTGTGTATTTTGTTAATTGAGAGCCTCTGTTCTTCTTTTTGTTTCTTTTATTTTCTTTGATAGTTTCGCCATAGTTTTAATCTGTTTAAAAATCTGTCTCTGGAATTCAGGAACATACAGACACAAAATTGTGCGCCTAACCTTTGCTTATTTAGCCTCGTTATGAGATCGGCTCAAGGGATATTTTCACAAATGTTTTTTCTAATACAATGCCAGTCCACTGTTTTCAATACAGTTGGGGCATTTGTTGCAAAATTTAGTTGAAAAGCATTTCGTTAAAACGCTATCAAAAAGATGAAAGCAATACAGGACAAAGCCGAAACCAATCGGAGCAAGTTTATACTGTTCTTGTAATGAGGCTTCTAACTAAATTCCGTGAAGGAGAAGCCACATGCAATAGAATCATCATAATTTACGATCCCAATTGATGACATAGGATGCTAGTACCTAATAGA